ACTAAATAAATTCATTTTGCGCCTATGTACATTTCTAAGTACTTAATGCATATATGTAGATATTTAGATTGTAAATTATCAGATTACAATACGTACATTTAAAATAGTAATTTTTTATAGAATATTATTTGTGTACAAAATCACTCTCTACGTACATATATACATTCATCTTGTATTTCACATTATATTTTATCGTAAAAATTGTTTTCTTAAATATTGATCTTCAAATAATTTCATTGATCCAAATAATTCTCTTTTCTAGATAAAAATTTCAAATGTTTTGCTTAAGAAAATATTTAATAGAACATATAATTTATCTTTGATTCTATGTTTTATACAAATAAATATTTATAATACATAAGTAACAAATTTATCTGAATAAAATTTTGAAAAAACTTAACAGCTGATAAATAGAATTAGTCATATATTATCAGATTTGCTTGTTGAAATCAAAATTTCATTAAATCTGACACTTTTAACATTTTTTATTAACAAAAATGATAATTGTAACATACTATTAAATGTACACAAAGATAATTACATTCATTTCTTTAGTTCTTGCAAGAATATCACAAGCATTTGTAAGTTTTACATATATATTAATAAACTTTTCTTTCAAAATAACATGATGAGATCAATCTTTGATCTTAAAGTCTTGTGTCCATTATTGAATCTTTTCCTTTTTTTTCCTTTTTAACGAAGAAATAATTTTTCATCATATTTACAAGAGATTTAGATTATTAAGAAGGATTTTTTTATATTGTCAATCCAACTTATAAATTATATGTCCATGTGCCTTTTGCTGACTGAATATAACGAAGGGGTGTAACTGTATTTCTGACATCATGACTCTTTGATCTTCTTACGCAGTCTTGACTTAAAACTCTACATTCTTGGCTCAAAATGACATTATTATAATTACTACGAGGAATACTGTCGCTGCTCGCCACACGTCTCACGTTATTTTTTTTCTCTTGATTTTTGCATAGCGAATTGTCCAACATGGAATCTTTGATTTTATACATGGATTGATTGTTTCCGAGTACTTTCGGGCTCGGATCGATTGATACTGTTTTCGGGCTGTGTGTTGAGCAAACTTTTTGGGCACATTCATTTCGTCGAGTTTGATATTTGTCATTGTTTTCTTCGAATAATTGACGGTCAAAAATATGAGAGAAATCATCATTATTGTAATTCCCCTCATTATCAGCATTTAAGGTTATTGTGGAATCAAGCGAATCAGAAAATTCTGGACTGGGAACAGAAGTCAAGTTGCCGATATGGGAGAAAGTGACCGTCCCCTGTGGATTTTGGGGACGGTGTCAGAAACATCATTCTTCTAATTCATCCATTCGATTTCTAACGGCCATTTCTACTACTTCCAGACTTGGATAATCCAACTCCTTGACCAGACATAGTACAGCGGATAATATATTTGAATTCTAAAAAAAGGTTATATATATATATATATATATATATATATATATATATATATAGACATATAGAGGGAGTAAAATTTAAAAAATGTTTTAAATATTTTTAATCAAGATTTCATCCCCATATTATTGGAATAAAATACTAATAAATAAGAAAAACAAATATTTTCTATTTATCCTGAATATATGTAATATTTTCATATTATATTTAAGATTGTAACATTTGTCCTTTGACAAAATTATTTATGTTTTCTTACCATATATATTTAAAACAAATTACTAATCTACAAATGATAAATTTTTGTTTTAATCTATCTATATCCTTCAAACATAAATGTGATATATATTCAGGACAAATGAATGAGTCTTACAAATTTTATTTAGTTAATCAATATTGAATCTCATATTCATTTCTGATCTTATTTTAATTAATATGAAGATATATCAAATGATACATTAGATGATAACAATAAATACAAGCTGAGTCATACAAAGTGATATGTAGCCAGAAAACATGTTATATTTATCTAAACATGATTATTAATAAACATTAATATATATGACTGCTGATATATTATAAAGTATATTTAGTTTTCATTTGTATGTGGATAACATGAATGATAAGAATCGCGAAAATGTGCTGTTACTTAAAATACCTTGGATATTTCAAGAGTGTTAGTGGCCACAGTCTCACTGTTGCTGCGTGACTCTGTACACACAGTATCATCTTTGCTCTGATTTTTTTGATTGTCCATTTTGTAGCTGTAGCGTATATCAGGCGATAAGACAGTTTTAAGTTATAATTATGCTTCAAGCTTAATTCTTTTAATTTAATTAGTTAATACGATCAATAATATTAAATTAATGGATTAATTATATATTTTATTTAAATAGAAAAATATTGCAATGCAAAAGCTTCCCAGCATTATAGTTATATTTCGTTATTAATAAATAGTTATTTATTTAATAATGATTAAAAAAAATGTTTTTAAAATCTTCTATTAGATGATATGCATGACTGACCTCATATGCGTATTGATTATTTTGTGAATAATGATGTGACGATGACGCATTATAATTTGCGTTTCTTCTATCAGGGTCATATTCTTCATGGGTGTGTTGCGTTTCATCAAAGCTTCTCTGGAAAAACAGTTCTACATGTATATATATATGCTATTTTCCTTTACTGATGATTACTCAATATCTTGTGAGTTATCAAACGATTCATTTTATCGATTGATGAAAAGAAAATCGACAAAAGAATAAGTGAATTTGTTATTACCTGATCGCTAGAAGAACTGTATTTCCTAGGCCGTACCAACTCAGTTTCATCAACTATATTCAATTGC